CCTGGCCAGAAACAAGTTTTCCCCCCAAGCTGATCACCAGTTTTGACCTGACTGAGTAAGAAACATTATATACAAGCCTCTCATCATCTGTTGATGCTAAGTTTTTTGCCTGCAACAAAATTCAGCTGATTCTTCGCCATGTCTCTGATCTTTTTAAATGCTTCAAATTGGGATTCAGATTGATAGCATTTTTAATTTTTTGAGACAAATCACATAATCAGAATGCATTATTTAATATGAATTTCCCTGGAGTCTGTTTTCTATGCCCAAATACAGGCTGCTGTCAACCTATGTTAATTAACTACGGCAGCGATAGCTTTGATTACTTCTCCATAATAAGTGGTGAGTGTGGGACAGGAAAAAATGATGTGCAGTTTATAGGTCATTTTGTTATTGTATAGCCATAACATTTTTTTCTTTTGTTGATCATGTGTTTGAGGTACATAGATCAAACTGATATTACATAGTACACCATTATGTCAGTTTGACGCAAAATTAAGATTGTTCTATATAGATAAGATGACATTGGCATTTGAAATTTATGGACTAAGTAATGTGTAATTTAGTAAACTAAACTAAACATGATGTTTTAGTTATCTTTTATATAATGACATCAGAACTAGTTTCTGTGAGTTGGAGTTGTCCTGTATTAGTTTCAGTACTTTTATATAGACATAAAAAGGTTGATGTTGACTCTCAGAAAACTGAAAAACAAATTACATATGCTAAGAAATCTTTTCATTTAAGAAGAAAATTTGTTGCATAGTGGGATGTTTGTGTTGCAGTTCCATTTTTTAGATGCAGTCACTGTAATGAAAGCCAAGCCAACAGTTCAAGATTCCACTACCATTTTGCTATAAAACTCCCATCAGCTTCATTTCATCAAGCAAATGTCTGCATTTTTAGAAGTTAATAGGACTGTTCATTTGCACTATTGATCTGATGTGAAGTAGAAAGCTGTATGAAATGCAGAGGTTGGAAATGGGCATCCCTTTTGCCAGAGATTCTGCAGCCATCTAGATGAAATGACCCTTGTCTAGATTAGATGACAATTAATATAAAGTGAGCTGACTGATGGAAGGAGATTCTCTTGACCTTGCAACAAAGCAGTTTGTGAGCAAAGAGAAAAATTCAAGCTATACACAGTCAGTGTTTATATCAGTCAAATTTGTTTCTGAATAGCATATATTATTTTTCATACGGATTTCATAAAAAAAAAAAAAATTAAGCTGTGAGGGACACCTTTACATCTGCATATGCTACCATTTGCAGATAAAATTTTGAAATTGATTTTTTTATTCTGTGGAGACTGAATCTTTCCTTCAATCTCCATTTAGTCTAACATTTAGTTACATTCTGTTCAGACTGTCTCAATTCTTCAATTTGAAGACAGATTCCAGACATTGTATATGTAGGCATTTATGTGGCAGAAAATCAATCTAAACAGGAAACTACAGCAGCAGCAGCAACAACAACAACAACAACAATAATAATAATAAATAAATAAATAAATAAAAATAATAAAAAAATACAAGTCATCATTTTGGAAGATATTTTGTAGGCCTGAAAGAGAATGTGTTTATTATTTTAGTTCTCTGGTATGCATTTTCAATAAATATCTTTTGTTATAATTTTTCACGTACTGACTATTAGATAAGGAAGTATTAGTTTGGTCTTTTTTTCAAAACTTGGAGAATTCCACAGAAATTGGTCACAATGAGCTCTGTATGTTAAACCTATAATAATCAAAGTAATTTTAAAGTATACATTAGGCCCCAGTGGAAGATGAAGTGAAATACTGTTGCATAAAACCGATTTTTTGAAAAGCAAAATTAAAAATCTCCTATTCTGCAGTTGCATTATTTATCCAAAAGTAAAGCTGAGGTTATTGCACAGTTTATTTGATCAAAATTGAATTATTATTGCCCGTCACAATATTTTAAACATAATACTTACCTGAAAAAGCTGATAAGAATATTCAGAACAGCTAGTTGAATTCCAAGTCAAATGTATTTATTTAAATAGTACATTCACAAATCTTGAAATTGCTGAAAGTATTGAAAGAGCGATAAACATGATTGAAATCTGTGTTTACCATGAATGCCACTAACTGTTATTTCATATGCAAGATTTAAACATTTTTTCTATGCTAGGCTTCGTTTTTGTGATGAATGTAATGTTATGCATGTTTTTGTGATGAATGTTAAAGAAGAACCATACTTGTATCTGAATAATATCTTTTCCTCTTTGGCTCAATTTTCTAGATAATAAATATATAGCGTGTATATAATGCTGTCAGATTTAACTAAGCATCTATGTGTTACAATATCAAGGAAACTTTACCTTTCAGTGTAGAAATGTACCTGAATGATGTTTTATGTCATATCTCCCGGTAGCAGGTGTTCCCAAAGCTGCTGCCACCTCACCAGATTTTTCCACCTACTCCATTGAGATTGCAGTTAACACTGTTTATTGCAATCAGGATCTAATGAGGGCTAATATAATATAACATGATATTAGATATGTGAAAATTAATCTGTAGAACAGATTATTTTGATATATTATATACTATGTTTACCTACCTTATTTAGAAGCATTTGTATCAGAAAGAGTGCAGAGATGATTGTTTTTTTATGTACAGATACTGTAAGTGTCTGTATACATTCTGATTGTTCTGTCTGTCTGTGCTGTCACTGTCTGACACATGATGTTCACCCCATAACTTCCAAACCATATTTTTGTTTTACTTTAAATTTACCCAGTTGCTTTGCTTAGTAAAAAGGCAGAACATTATCAGTTTACATTTACGGTAATTATTATTATTATTATTTTTTTTTTTAGGTGTGAAATTTTCATTTTGCATACATTAGCGTTTTCTATCAAATGGAACTGAATCACTTGCCAGTTTTTCAATGTCCATGTTACCTGTAGTACATAATGTAAGAGGATAAGAGTGGATATGCTATTTGAAAGCATTATTTTGTGCACTTTTTTCTGCATAATGTCTGTACATTTTACAGCTGTGCTGCCTTGTTTCCTGTATGGTGTCTGTACATTTGTCAGCTTTGCTGTTTAGTTATGCTTTACTAGTAAGTTAATATCTATGCTGAATATTATTATAACATTGTGCTTATGTCTTAAGAAATTGTTATTGTCAATACACAATGCAGTAGGGTTTTGCTTATCATAATTTTCAGAATTTTGAAGTTATCTCAGGAAATATACCCAAACTGCTTGAATGATTCCCCTTCTAGTGGTACATGAGGTGCACTACTAGTACTGGTATATTTGAGCATATGAATAGCTTGGGAGAAATGACTGACCTTATTCAGGTAGCTGTTTTGTGCATGTTTGGTGATTTGTGGTTTTACAGAGTAGAACTTCAAAAGAGCACCAAGCTGATTATTGAGATGTCTGACATGCAATTTCTATACCTGCAAAGATAACCACTTCAACTGCTACGCATAATACATTTCACTAGAACTGTTAAATTTTAACTTGAAATTCTATCGATTGTTTGCAATCTGCTTTACAAGTATTTACTGCTAGCGATAACCCTGATTTTGTGGTACAATGGTAAAAATACTTGCTGCAATCACTGCATTATAAACTGGGAACTCCATCTGCTTATTTGACACTTTTTGTATGCACTTTGTACATGTTTTAATTTTTGTTTGAGAAAAAGAACAGCAATATTATATACAGTGTGAGACCCAGATGAAAACAGGTCAAATTGTTCACACTGTATAATGCTTTCAGGCAGTATTAAGTCGTTAATTTGGCCATTAAAAAATGTACAGCTTCTAGTCACAATTAAACTGCATAACATCAGTTTTAAACCATTATGGTGTTTTAACATTTGAAACTAATCACTAGACTTAAGATGTCAAAAGCTATGATGTGCGAGGACACACATGTAAGATGGCCACTGATTGGTCAATTGAAACGTTAGTGACTAGTAGTGGTCTTGGCGAGGAGGACACCAAACATCAGTATTATTTATCCAAGTTGCAAATAAACCCTTAGTACATTGTATACTGTAATTTATGACTGATAATCTGTGTAGAATTATCATTTTTACAATTGTTAATTTGGGGAAAAGAGGTTAAGTGAATTGGTAACCTGAAACAGACAACCAATCTAAACCCTCAGAAACCTGGCCTTCTTGGAAACAAAGAGATAAAAATAAAAAATAAATAGATGCATTGCTTTCATTCATTTTCGACCAGTATATCCTGCAGGTGGTGTGATCATTAAATAAAATAATGCGGGAAATCGAAACTAGACAAAGGCATGGGCATGTATGCCAGCATGCACCTCATATTATTGTTGATCCTGTACTTACTGCATTTATTATGTTTATGCACTGTGATTGTTTGTGCATTGCTGAATAAGGTTCTTAAAAATGGACAATGAGCACCTTCTGAAATTGTAGTCATTTGTCTGTGTCATATTTTGTAACATCATCACTTAAACTTAAAGAAGGGACTAGACTAGACTAGACTGCATCGAGTTTCTTTATACATTTTGTTTTTTTTACCGATGAAAAAGGAAAGTACCTAATTAAGTTAAAATTTTAGTTTGTAAGCTAGACTGGACAAATTGAGAGTTTAAATGTATCAGTCACATTATTTCAAAGCTTTCGCTTTAATTGTAGCATGAGAATGATTCTCTTATTGTGGATGTCTTTCAATATTTTACTTGCTGTCACATTAATGTTCACTACACCTGATGAGGTTACACAAATAATGGAAAGTCTTGGACTTACGAAATTGTGGGGACAATCAGCTGGGGACAATGCTGATATAAAGATATGGTAAGTATGTAGACAGTTTAGACAGTATATGCAGTGTCAGGGTTCAGGACCAAATCAAAAATTTTTTCCCCCGCAATATTTTCTGGATGACCTGACCAGGTGAGAGACACTAACGGGGACGTGATGGGAATGGATGATATATGCGGGTAATAAATAACTGCTACCAGGGACAACTGTCTAAGCATGATCCTATGGGCTTTCAACCAGGTCACAGTATGTCTTTCTGCTGTCACCATCTCCTGACTGGGTCACCACCACTACCAGAGGGAATCACACACCAGAAGGGATCCATGCCATCCTTGTCACCAGATGGTCACGTCATTGCTGATTGCCTCCTCTGTCTCTTAGAGAGTACTCAGGCTATGTTTCCATTACACCTTCAGTGCTGTTAGGTAGGGTGTCATATTGTACTTAGAATTAAGGTGTTGTAGAATTGCACAGTCTGTAGTGAGTATGTGGTGGGGGATGGAGACTTGTTTAAGAAGATAATGTGGCTCAGTAGTAAAATCTTGCTTTAGAGATATTTAGGAAAAGACCTCATATTGCACTCAAATTAAATCATATAATTACCCATCCGAGTCAATTTGAGATTTTTCATTTTTTTAAAAACATATTTTAAAAGGCTTTTTGGATTCCATCCAAAACCTTCTGTTTTGGGAAATTGACAGCTGTATGTAAGAGAATCTCCAAAAAGTGATTTACTCACCCAGTGGGGATCTATGATCCAAGAAAGCCCAAAGTCTTGCAAATAAGAATAGAAACCAAGAAAATTTTATGGGATTTGGAGAAAAATATTGGGGTCAGAAATAATGGCAGACTAATGAGTGTAGTTTGGCAATCATAAAAAATTTATCTACAAATATTTTCTGGTTATTTTTTTTTTTTTTTCTTAAGTCTGTCTTCATTGCAGTCTATTGTACAGCAGCACAAATTTGCCATTTTTTATGTGTCACTTCTATATATATAAGTGACATATTAAGTTTCACCCTGATATGCTTAAAAGTTAATGTCAATTTACATGAATTCTTTCACATTTTCTAGTCTTGTGTAATGTCAAGCATTGTTATCAAACCCTTTTGTCAGAGTTTTGTCCATTTTATTCAAATGCAAGTATCTTAAGAGATCTTTTTCATTAATTTTTCTAGAAACCTTTTCAGCACTTGTGCTAACAAATTAATAATGCCCTTCCCGCCAAACCACCAGGAAAACAAAAAAGTATTTTTTAATTTATGAGATAATGTTTATATATAGACAACAAAGCATTAAGTATTTTTTAATTTACGAGATAATGTTTATATATAGACAACAAAGCATTAAGTTGAATTCACCTTATGAGGTAATGTCGAAACTAGGGAACATAATTGTGTCTGTGTGGTTTGTCCAGTCACGCTAGTTAGATCTGTCACAAACCTACACCAGTCAGAAGTATGAAGGCGTTTCCATATGTTTTGTTAATCAGAATTCCACATTACCAATTTCTCAGAGAAACATTTACACAGTCCATTACCCTCTCTACAAGGACACAATTCCAGGGGCCTCCTTCTCTTTGATGTGTGCTATATAAAGAACTGTTTAGATTTTTACCATACATGAACATAAAATTACCAGGGGATGATTGAAATAAAAGAAATGAAATAATGGTTTCAAGTTTCACTTTGATTTCAGTTAGAGAAGAACAGCAAGAGCAGCAAACGCTAGAAAGAAAGGACATATAAGTTTATTTCTTTCCCAGTTTAATGTATTTGTGTGGGAACCCTTGTGTCCAAAAACGGAGTCCTAAACTGTATCTGTTGAGAGAGAGAGAGAGAGAGAGAGAGAGATTTTTCATATATTAGCACCATGAAATGACAAAATTCCCTGTGGGTAGAAATGGCAAAGCATATGCCATCCTAATCTGTCTGGTATCTTGCAAAGCAGAACATTGCACATGAGCATGAAGACTCATAAACAAAGCAACAGCTGAAAAAAGAAAAAAAAAAAAGATATTACTGATAGTCAAATGTGCCATTGTTTTGATGCATGTATTCGGAAAGCGTGGAGGGGGAGTGCAACCTCTACTTGATTGATTTAAAATGTGTCCTATGTAAGACATTCCTTTTTGATATACAGACACCCATGCCATTTTAAATTGCCTATGTCTCAGAGCATTAAAATTATTTCCATCCTAATTAAAGGGATAATAACTCTTCGTATGATATCTATATTTCACAATAAAAACCTTGTGAATAACTCATAGAAATATAATATATTCTGTTTTACCCCAAAAACAGCAGTTATAGCTTTTATTCTGATATCTGAACTTGTCTCTAGACCACGTGACCTCCATTGATGTCTATACTCTGTTAAAATCTCTTAAGAGATTTTAACAAAAAACCAAACTTTTTAGAAAAAAAACAGGGACTAACTTTGAATGTAAAAATGGGTTCATTAACCATTGCTAAGTATGGGAAAATTGTTGTTTACTCCAGGAAAATTCATTTTTTGGCCGAAACGAAGAGTTATTATTGCTTTAAGGTAGATTCAAGTCTAATTCTGCCTATGCCCAATTCCAATTGGGGAGAATGCAAATAACAGCATAATAGGTGACCAAATTTACAGGTAAAATGCTGGCTTGTTTAAACCACCATACATTTTTTAAAGAGACAAAAAAAGCAAATATATAGCATAGTTGCATGTTTTAATGGCAATCAATTAAGCATTTTATTTATACATAAAACACTGCTACGTTGTATCTACTTCCTTTCTTTAATCAAGAGGTATGGCACTCCCAGCTTAATTATAAAATTATGACACCCTTTGTCAAATTGGCATCTTACCTGCAAATTACTTAATCTACTTATTTAAGGTGTTAACAGTGCATTTGATATACATTCATTTGGGACTGGGCCAAGGCAGATATATTTTGTTTCAAGAAAGACTCACTTTGGCTGAGACTCATATTGATAAAGATATAGCAAATTACAATTTTTGTTTAGTACATTTAGTTTACAAACATTTTCACCATTTGGGTTTTCAGGTGAAAGAATTAAGTTGTGAGTAATGCTTTAAGTAGTTTGAAGTTCCCCAGATGAAAGCTGGATAACATGCCCCTTAGCCAGATGAAAAATTTGCAGCAAGTTTGCAGGAGTTTGCAAGAACATAAAATTCCTTTAGAATTTGCGGCAGGCCTGATATGCCAAAGGACAGAAAAAGCTGAAGATAATGTTCATTAATGACTTGATCTTTTCAATGGGCAAAATTATCAACTTTTAGGTACATAATTTTATAATCACAAAGGTTACATTGCGATATAGTATTTGTGGTGCTTTTAATGCATAGAATATAGGACTATAAAATAGCCCGCTTTTTGATTTTGTGTAACTACCACTCAGTAGAAATGTCTAATTTTAAGAAATTTACTTCAAAATTACAGTTTTTGTAAAATTTACAATTCCCCCATTGAAAAGATTGAGTGATAACCATTTTTTTCTTTCATCATTTAATATTCATTTGTACTATATACAGTTAATCTTACCAAGACAGTATCTGTTTTCAACGTGTGGAATTATCTAGCTACATAGCAAGTGAAGATTTTAAGTGTCATGACAAGAACATGTAAACCCGGAGTGCATGTCGTGTTAATTAGCAGCGGTGCTGTCAATATACGGCAACGCTACAATTTTTGTACTGATATTGTGCCATATCAGTGCTTGAAAACGTGACTCACGCTTTTGTATAAGAGGCAATTCCATATGGTGCAGTAAAAGTTGAAATTTTGTTGAATATTCATATATCTGATGATGTGTGAGGTTATGATATATATATATATATATATATATATATATATATATATATATATATATATATATATATATATATGTGCATTCTTTAAAACACAACAACCTTAAAAATAAAACAAGGTCAAAGTTGAAATCTTATAAAACACTTTATAATCAGTTTCAGTGTTTACTGTAGCCATACTATCTAAAGATATCCTGTTCATAAGATTAAGGATCATGATATTTATATACATGTAAAACACTATATACATTTTCTTTTTAAGTTGCAACTCTATGAAACCGTTAGCACTGCTTGTTGTGATGAGATTTGAAATTGCAGAAAATGCCACAACACAGTCTATGACTTAGTCTGAGCATAAAATAGCTGTGGAAATATAGCAATTGAACCCAGGATGATATGCAAGGACAAGAGTGATATGTCCTGATTACCCTGAAGTATGTATTATATACTATTAGTTAGTATATTTTATTTGTGAAATGTTCTAAAAAATCTTTGCTGTTCAGCTTGGCTGGCGGCTGATTCCCAGAAAGATCTGCAGATATCATGTCAAGGATTTAACTGAAGAATCGGAGAAATGATTTAATGATATGTTTTCATGTTTTTCCTTTTCTTGTTTTTTTTTTCAGTACCTTCAATCTAGATTTGAGAACACCCCCCAGTATGATGGTGCAGAAAATGTGAATGCATCTGTTTAAAGGCATGTTCCTAATGAAACTATCGTTCTATGTAGATCAATCCAACTCGGTGGGGACTCTCGCTGAATGCAATCAGATTAACTGAATGACACACTTCTTCCTGCAGCAAGGGGTGATTAACTTTGGTGTGCATTTGGTAACACTCAAAACTAAGTGAAAAGGCATCCAAAAGCTGAATGGACACAAAAGTTAATAACCCCTTACCTGCTCAAGGAGATGCGTCATTTTAAGTACAAAAGATAAAATGAGTAGATAAAGCATTGATTCAGAAATCTTTTATGTCAAAATTTACCAATATAGACATTATTGTTTGAAGTATACTTTTTGGTCTTATTTTGATACTTTATACAAAAGCATTGTCCAGATGAAATTTGGAAATTTACATAGTTCTCCCCATATTAAAGCTTGGAATGAAGCATACATGCATATAGTAATAAGACTATTTCGAAGGGATTGTTTTAAACAAGATGTAGTGAAGGACAGCATATCTGGTTTTATTTTGACACAAACTGCTTTCATTTCATCTGTTATTATCAAAATCATCAGTTCTCTCAAATTCATTCTCCAGAATTGTAGATCACTGTGACTGAGATACTGACTGTTATTGACAGGGAGCCTTATCTAGTTCTGGGTTTTAGAACACTCAGATTAAGATTGGCTAGCTAGTATTTCAGATATAATGCAGTAAATAAAGGAACAGTAAATCTGATTTTATCTGTTAATTGAAGAAGTTATCATATTAACAAACCTTTTCGAGAGAAATCTTAAGAAGTAAAATGGATGATTTGAGATCTGATTGGCGTTAGGACCATATATATATATATATATATATATATATATATATATATATATATATATATATATATATATATATATGGTCATTCAGCTAGAGTGAATCCTGTGGTACGTGTCGGCCATCTTGTGTGAAACTTATAATTATTCCAGCCGCAGCTATATTGAACCTGCATCTTTACAGCAGTATGTATGTATTTATTCACATTATCCAACTATAACATTATACAGTTGTGATGGTATTCATGAAAAATTCACATATAATTAATACATTATTATATTAAAAAACGCGTAATATTGAAACTTGAATCACTGGTGAAGAGTTTTTTCTGGTTGTCTTGGTGACATGATGTAGGTTATATTTGTCAGATATAATCTCATTTCTGAAACAGACACATTTGGTGATTTTGCTGATCATTCACATGTCTAAGATTAAGGTGAGGATTCAGTGCTACCCACTATATCATTACAATTAGAAAATATTTCTCCTGATCATGGAATCTGTCAAATACACAGTTTTATGACAAGCATGCATACCTCTGAGCTGTAATTTAAAATTGAAAAGGGTCAGTGGACCTCATAGAGATTTTCATAGAATCTACCATATTGGCTTATTTTGAAGCATGAATTATAATTGAACTTAATCGTGTTTTGAAGAATCACTGATTGTTTTGTTGTTTTTTTTTTCTTGAAAAAATGCAGTTTGACTATTTTTCATTTTTTACATGTTGGTATTTTCCTTATGTGACTTTTAACTCCCATGGGCCTGAAGCCCAATGTTTAATTTCATTCTTTAAATGTCCATCTTACTTGTAGTACATTATTGAAATTGGTTGTGATAATGCCACGCAATTTAATGGTGCATCAAAATTGACAAAAAAAAAATGTTTTTTGCACGGCCATATTTATTTTCTGCTTTATTTCTTTCAATGTAACAAAAAAAGACAACGGTGTCTGCAGACGTTGAATTTGATTCAAAGCAACCTTTTCCGAGCCAAAAGGGCACTAGAAATCCCCCTACCCTGTCTAGGGCCAGGTTAGACTCTTTTATGCACTAGGATCGGCTATCACATGGAAAATATTAGACCAATTATAAACATTTTTCTAGGATCTGTATTCCTTTCATAAGAAGTACATTTATCAATAAAAAATTGCAGCCATTTTTTTCTTTGAAGTATTAACTACCAATTTTCAGTTAACGTTTTAATTATACATTACCAACTTTAACTATGATTTATTTCTATCAAGTGGAATATTGTCTATGAATTATTTATTTTTATAATCCTTCTCCAGAGCAACATTTGGCCTACATGTCACAGTGTACATTTATGTAGGAACACTTCAGTGTATTATTACTGCAGAAATGTTACAAAATCATTAAAGACTCCATAAAGAATCAGACCTATTCAACCTTAATTACTTCTTTCCAATAAATAGCATCCCAGGTAATTGTGAGCCAACTTATCTTTTCTCTTTTTTTCTGGCCTTTTTTTCTTTTTATCAAGTACACATTTACTTTAACCTAATAGATTCAGTATATGGAGGAACTATCAGATTTTACTGTATTTGTGCTGAATTACCATTGTTTTGATGAAGAAAAATAGCTTGCGATTGTTTGATCTCTGAACATGTAAGGCAAGAGCACAGAAGCCATTTGCTGTTTGCAGTTATATACCTTTTTTTATTTGCTCATTTCTTGGAAATATTTATCACATCTGAAGTGGTGCAGCAGTGGCCCAGTGCTTCATACTTTACTCTCAAGTGACAAGCACCAAATCATGTCTGGTAAGTTGTGATATGTGTGATTTAAAAGGTGACAGACAGTATTACTTGTGAGATAGGTTGGGAATGTGTACCTTGTTGCTATGGTTGTCATCCATGGTAAAAAGCATCATTATGACTGAGAGCTTCAGAGACTGAGAACATGACACCTGTTGAAAAACACTGAATCCCAGTTTTGTTGGGGGCTTTACTTGGAAATGTATGTATTTTTCAGATATTATTGGGTCTTTTTTTTTTTACAGTTCTGACAAGAAATAAAAAGGTGAAAGCCGAGATAACTATACAACTTAAAAACAATTTTGTTTTTATGTTGTCAGCTTTGGAAAAGTATGTAGATAGATATGGTGGAACCATAAATTTATGCTCCAAAGTTTTGGAGTAAGCTGCCTTAGATCTTTAAGGAGGCGAAAAAAATTATCACGTTTTAAAGATTTATTAAAATGATACATTGTAGCAATTCGCAAAGGATTTAGATTTCGATTGTATTAAAATAGTGCTTTTTTCTTATAAAAGAATGCAAATAATTTTTGTTCAGGTCAGTCAGGTATGTGACAGAGTTGCTGGCGCAATGTGCTTTGATAGGGTCTTCAATTTACCTTTTAGATGATAGAGTTAAGTCATGTTGTGTTGGTCCAGTTGTTGCCATTCTGGTTGCTATACCTACAACATCTTCATTTAGAAAATTCTTGAACAGATGTGATTAAATGCAATGTGTGTTTTGAGAGAAAGTCTATTAGAGAAAGTTAGGTATGTGACTGGAATATTTATATCCCCAGAGTACAAAGCCAAGTTGGGTTTGAATGGGAAGAAATGAGATTATAAGGACTATGAAAGAATAGGTCATTTTTGGTTAGTGGTGCTTTTGATAAAGCAGTCACCAGAGTTGTGACCCATTTAGTATCCAGGCCATCTATAAATATGTAGCTTGGTTGCAGCTATAGGTAATTTTGCAATCAGGTCATGAAATTGCGGTTTAAGTCATTAATTTGACAATTGCAACCACAAATCCACAACTAATTTTGTTTAAGAGGTCTGATATTGTCTAGAGCACAACTTCGGAAGCTTCAAACCTGGAATCCTAGTTTGTTATGCTGTAAACCATGTTCTTGATGGTGTCAACAACAGGGTTTAAGTCACGCATAAAGATTCTTGATTGTTACAATACCACATCATGTTTCCCTACTTTAATCCCTGATTTGGGTTCTAATGTATAATTGAGGTATTTGTGCAGAAGTTGTACTCAAATATTCTTTACCATGAAGCAATAAAGAAATGAGTGGTAAAATCACTTAAATATAAGATAATACAAATTCCTTAGTCATTCTGTATGTAATAAAATTATTTTTAGTCTGTTAAAAATGGGTGCACATAGCAAAGTTTCAATTTGGCAAATTAAAATGTCACAGGTGCTCTAGACAGGGTTATCAAATTTTGGAATGAAGTTGTTCTATATATTTAGTAAAAATTGCCACATATTCTTTCATTGCAAAATGCAAATGACCTTTATATATTTTTCTTCTTGTTCAGGAAAAGTAAAAAAAAGTGACCACTGTTGATGTGACAGCTTATAGGTTGGTACTGACAAAAGATGCCTCAGTAACAGGATCACTTTCTTTTGTTACGCTTGTCACCAAGGCAACCCAGTGAGTTGCTACAGCAACCCAAATCTTATCTATTCTATCACTGTGCTTAATCTACCTCCAAGAGAGCTGTATGGCTTCCTTCTATGATGTGAAACTTTCTACTGAAAGAAACATCAATAACAGAAATTGTCATGAAAATTGAAGAAAGATCTCTGGCAAAATATTGATTTTGAAAAAGAGCATCTCATTGCTGACTTTTTGTTGAGGTTTAATTGTTTTATTACTTGTTGCTGGGGGTATGATTAAGTTGGTAAACTTAAGCAGATTAGTTTTCTTATTGATGGACAAAAAGCCAATTACAACATACACTGCTAAGGGTGCCCATATAGAGTCCACATAATTTCAGTCAAACAAGGCGATTGTTTCGTTAAAGATTGTGGTGAACCACAGCACATTTTACAATTAATTTAAGATAGGCTTTCAGATTTGAGACTAGTGTAACAGAATATACTGCTGGTTCCCCACAGACATCAGAGACACATTTATGTATCAGACAGAACTTCATTGTCAGGAAAAGGAGATCGACACCTATTTTCTGACAGATAATGTGATGACAGAGTGCCTTTTCACTGATCAAGTGACTGAGCTTTAGATTGAAACTAATAATTATGCTAGAGTTATCTGTAATTTGCTTTGTTCCTTGTAACAGTATACTATTAGTATTTTTTTATTTGCTGGTACATTGTAGCTGAAGAATGTACACATACAGATTTGATATTAAAATTTTGTCAAAACCAGTTTTATTTAACTTAACACAACAGCACTTGATATTTCTCTTATATTTCAGATCCAAGATGACAACGTCCATGTGACTCCAGAGCTGCCATGATGATATATGTACTGAGCCTTTTTCTACTACTGCAGTTCTCTGTGGATTCTTTTGTTAGTGGATTTGAGGGAGGTGAGAGCTCTAGCTTTTTTGTATTATATAGTGTTGGTATGTCACTTCTTTTCCCAATATTTTTATTCTTAGGAATCCATGAATCTTTAATTATTTAAAAGTAATTAAAGATTCATGGATGACTCATTTGAAATATAAGGATATATACTCTCTTGCAGTCACAGCAGAAAAAACATCCAAATGTTTCTGAAGAGACAGTGAATTTTAAAGGGCTTTGATCACATGACTGACTTGTCAATGTGAGCCCCGGAAGTTATTTCACAAGAGAAATCTACTAAAATTTATAACATAAATATATATATATATAATCTGTAACATTTATATGAGCCAAGACTGATCTAGGTTTATTTTGTAATTGGCCAGTGAACAGTCCGTCATTTTTATGCTTATATTACATTACAGGGGCGGATTGAGGTTGTCTTCTGGGTCTTCTAGAAGACGGTCAAATTTCTAAGTTTACGTTGATGAGTACCTAATTTTTTTCTGTCAGAAGACGGTCAAAAAATGGAAGATGGATCAACAAAGATAATGTGGAAGACTGTCAGAAAATATCTCTGGATCCGCCCCTGCATTACTTGGGGGGGGGGGGGGGAAGGAGCTTAGTTATGATCCTGTTTTATCTGTGGGATATTATGTGCTTTATAGTAGATATGTACATGTATTTTACTTTAATGTATCATTTACAGATGTGACACCTAAGGACCCCGTGGTTATGGTAGGGGCAACCCTGAACCTCACCTGCTCCCTGGGGCAGCAGCACAATGCTAGTGACATTTACTTTACCAAGGGAACAAGGCGATTCTCTAATGCGAGTGTGACAGTTCTCTCCGAACATGTGGCACGGTTATCCAGGGAAGACATGCAGCCGGAGGACACAGGAACTTACCATTGTTATGTGGCTGCTAGGGATGGGCCAGGGGTTTGGATAAACAGCCAGTATGTGCAAGTTGGATGTAAGTTGTTCACTTGAAGATAAGGGTTTTTTATTGTCTTCAAGGCGTATTGTGATCTTACTGAACATGTAGGATAAAAGCCAGACATTAGGACTTGGGTATAATTGCATGCAAGCATACATGAAATATTTGTGTAACATATTTGCAACTAAACAAATGCCCTCCATTTTTTTTAATCATTGTATTTATTGCCCCCTGAACTCCCTTCCCTACCATTGAATGGTATTTAGACCACCTGAACCTTATTTTACAGGCTTTGATTCCATTCTCCCATTTGATATGATGCCTCCAGCACAGAGCCCCCCATTAACTGTACAATATTGTATTCCAGACCCACCTGACTCCCCATCTAACTTGACGTGCATTTCATACAATCAGGAAAACATGACATGTACATGGAACACAGGGAGAACAACCTACCTCAAGACAACCTATGAACTACTCTGGAGTAGAGAGTAAGTTATTACTCTGTCATCAATAGCTAAAATGTCTACACTCTTCTTGTCCTTATCTGTATTAACTTGCTGATTAAACTTTTTTTTGGTTCTATATACAGCATTAGAGTGAAATAAAAGTTTCTTATGGAGCTAATTGGTGTGAAAACACTGACTTTCACATAATGTATTTTTGCATGACTTTTAACATGATAGATACACCCATGATTTGAATAAATACAGATATCTCAGTATTCTTTGTTAGTGAAAATAATTCCCTGAATAAATTTTGACGTGTGCATGCTATAGCCAGTTTTATTGCAGTTGTGTATGGTGCCAGTTATGTTAACTTCATTTTGTTCCTTAAACAAGGTAAGCCTGTCTTAAACCTGTGCTAAGCTTATGATGCGTCAGTCATATTGGATAATTGACGTCCATTTTAACCCTCCACATTTCAGCTCAAGGAAAAAAAAAACCTTTTCTCCTTGCCCACGGCCATCCATGAGCTCTTCAAGCTGTACATGGGTCGAGAATGATAAACAGGATACATTCTGGCCAAACGCAGAATATTTTTTTATTGTAAATGCCTCAAATGTTCTCGGTTCGAGGACTTTGCTTGATGTACAGAAGGCAAATGCAACTATAGGTAAATGGTGGGGTTTGCAGTAGCAGCACTTTTTTCTCCAAAGGTTTTTGCTGTGCTTATTAGATGCCAGTCAAAATGAATCGGCAACAAATTAAGTGTTAAGATTGTGAGACACCAATATAGAACTTTCATCTTTTGACATCTTTCATAGTGTAAGAATTAGCCAGCTCAAACCTGTTGGAGACTGGTGGTGGGACACATTTAACACACTAATGACTTTTTTATTTTTTAATCAATTGAACTTATTTGTTGACTGTGTATCAGAACTATTTTCTTGGCAACTTCATGTTGTACTGGTTGTCAGTGCTCACAGTTTCATCAGTGTTTATGGCACCAGTGTATAAGTTAAAAAGGAAAAAGAAAAGAAAAAACAAAACACAATTACCACAGGAATGAAAGTTAATGAATTCTTTTCAACAATTAAACACTTATTTATGCTTTATTTTCTGCCAGTCCTGGCTTGAGCACCGATCTGCTGCACAGTCTTACTCTCAGGCGTTGCTCTTGCTTGGTTATATTCTCATCCAAAGGCTAAATTCAGTGCCATTTGGAGAGTAATAAATTTTCATTTAATGTATAACTGAGCTAGGTTATTTTTTGTCTTGAGTCTCAGTGATCATATTTATGGATTTTTCCAAAGGCAAATCTTGGTGGCATTGGTTTTTCTCTTTGGAAGTTAACCAAGCGAGAGCATGATTTTATTTTTAATCTATTCATTAATTATGCTTTTTTTCCCTTTCTTCTCACTTGGGGTAATTTCATTGCTGAACACTTGAACCCTGTGTTTGTATGCCAGTCAGACACATCACTGCACACAGGGTGTTGGAGCTCTCTCTTAGTCGCACCTCTTCACAGCGTGGGTGGTTGAACAGTGATGGGCATTTCTTCTCATTATTTACCTGGAGAATTTTTTGCACTGTCTATGAATATCATTTGTAACAACTGCCATACCTTATATATACAACTATCTGTCTAAATATTTAAGCAGCTTTTCAAATTATACAATACTTTTATCCCTGTGTTTGGTTGATGGTGAAAAATGCCAATTGCTTTTTGGTCTAATAATGCAGAAGAAAAGAACCATCCTTCATTTTACTGATTTCCACTTTATGAATGCCAGCATGGTTTTTAATAAAGTTGTGTAACTTGTTATTATCATCAAGATGTTTTTTTTTTTCAATCCTTTTTATAGTGGGAATTCCACTGTATGTGAGTGCCCCAGGTACAGTGCTTACACAGAGTGTATATTCCCCAAAGGAGAATTCTTTCGGCCAGATATCTACTACATAAACTTGAACTCATATAATGCCCTGGGCAGAGGTTGGTTGAACGCCACAGTTCTAACCAATGCCTCCATAGGTATACACTTCCCTTCTATGCATGGCCAACCCTGTATGTGCCAAAGCGTATGCATAGATACATATACTACTTCTTAAAACCCCGCGAAGCAGGCTTAAATGACCTTTTTAAGCATTACATAGTTACATTTGGTGTTTTTTTTTAATTTTTTACAAAGGCATGTCATTTAACATAGAAGTTTTCTTAAAAAGGCATGTTGTGTAAGATTCCTTAAAATGATGAGATGTTTATTTTATTTATTTATTTTTTTCTTAAAACATATTTGCATGTATGGATTTGCCAGCTTTTAACCTTCTCAGAAAAAAAACCTACTTAATTCAAAAACATTTATTTTGGATGTTTCCCTTTAAACTTGCATGTTTTCTAGGTATCCAGAATATAGAAATGTTTGTATTTTTTCAAAGTGCTTTTGGCCTGGTTTATGTTTAGGAAAGTGACCATTTATGCAACTTGCATTTAATTCTATATTTTTTTGCATAATTCATGTTTAGGTAGTATATATACATTGTTTCATAATGGCCCACACAAGGAATGATAATTTTCTTTAAATACCAAAGCTGAAAGGAGTCTAATTATCTCTTCATGGAAAAGCACTAGATGACAAGTGCTAATTAGCTTACTGAAGTGCTATAGCATGTATGTAGGCAGGAAGCAAGTTTTCCTGTAGCAGAACTGCATAGACTAAAAATGCTTGACAACTACGCCACTGTGTGAAAATGTTCATGCACAAGAGTGGAAACTGAATGGAACTTGCTATGAGGCTTCTTTACAGGTTTTGAGCTTTTGAAGAGTGTTTGTCAATGCTTTTGTTGTTTTATGTGTTTGCATGTACTGTATAAGCATGGGTGATTTGAGAAAATATACATTAAACATCATCTGTCTTCTTGCCTTTACTTTCAACCCATGGTTTTTAGATAAAAGGAAATTTAAACACAATGTGTGCACAGGGATTAATTTTTTGTGCAATTTTTCCATTGATTTTTATATCTATATGCTGTTTGAGCTCTTGTCTGTCATCTTTACCAATGTCAATTCTGGAGGCAGAAGACTATCAAGTAGACATGTGATGATTTTGTATATGGCTTCAGCATGATTTGGATAAGGAAATAAAATGTCATTTCTTCACTGCTCTGACTTAACTGTCCTTTTATTAATTATTTATATACTTACAGACTTTACAAGAGAGTGTATGTTTAAAAAGAACCTTTCAATCATTTGTTTAAATGCCTTGTTCACAAAAATTTTTAATTATTTTAATGCAGCACATTATTATTTGATTTCAAACACTTTTTCTGCATGGTTTTGATTTTAACTCAGAAAAATCATTGTGCAACAGTTTTATCACAACAATTTTCCGATTTCACAGTGAAGCCCAACCCTGTGCGTAATCTGACTGCATTTCCGGTCATTGGTAAGAGCAGTGCTTTAACAGTGCAGTGGCTTGCCCCCAAACTGGCCATCTTGCTGGGACCTCCAGAAATTGCCCCAGGCCTTGTTTACAGATTGACTGGGACATCTCAGTGGAACCACACATGGGTGAGAACTTTCACTAATTTACTTTAATGTTAAATGTGTTTGCATCGGGGATTTCCAAAAATTGCATCCGGTTCAGGTAGTCTAGATTGTTTATATCTGCAAGATGCTGTTAGTATTATGATTGAATATGTTGTCACGATTGGAAGTTATTTGACCAAACTTCTCAAAGTTTAGACTTCTTTTGAATTTAACGGTTGTATGTTATTTTTATTATTATTATTTTTATTATTATTATTATTATTATTATTTTTTTTTTTGACTGTGCATTTAGCTCTCTGCTTGTTATTAATTTCTTGAGCAGATATCAACTTCTGTTATTCAAATGAATTTTTAATACTTGTGCGGATGATTAAAATATATATATCAATTTTCAGTTGTGCATAGATGTGAGATAATTGCAATTGCTCCATTTTTTGTGATCTTAATTGGCCTTTTTGCTGGGAAAAGGTCTACTCTGAGTAAACATAGGTACAAAAAGGTTTCATGGTAATAGAGGTCCACTTTTTCATAAAGAGGGCCCCCATTGAAACTGCTGGTTATAGGTGTCTGAATCTGGTACTCTCATTTTTGCTGATGAGTTACTAGCCATAAAATTTTTGTTATACTTTTTAAAAATATTTTTTATATATGTAGTTGGTTGAGCATTTTGATGCTGGGATGACTCTTGAGTGGACAGTTTTTACATGCATGAGAGGTTGCCCCCTCTCCCTTGAGAAGAGCAGATCTCTCTAGTCTCACTTAATGTGCAGGAATTATTTTCTGTAGCCTAGGTATAACCTACAAATCAGCATATCAGGATTCCCCTTGCTTTCCCTGTAGACAAATAAACATTGGAAGGCATTGATTTTTCAGTCTGATCACATCACAGATTCCCTTTATTCAATCCCACGTTCCTCTTGTGAAATGTCAGAAGTCATCAAATAGAGAGATCTGGCTGCAGACACAGCTCCTAATCACTTGTGGATTTCTAGGGTTGTTGTCTTTGGAAGAAATATGTCTAGCTTTATTTTGTCGAATTTTATACAGGTTGTGTATAATATCTTTCTGTTTTTTATCCTGCCTGAATTTTCCTTATTCAATCTTCATTCCATAGCCATATCTCAGTTACCAGTAAAAACAATTTGGCAGTATTGGTATCTATCATATGCTGTATATGGGGATGCATGATATAAACACATAATATGGATAAGAAATGATAAATTAAAAAAAATTATAATAATAAATGAATAATAAAAGAATCTAACAATGATCGGTGGATGTATTATCCAGCATCTATGTTGGATCTTAGAGAGGATGCATGTCATAAATATGCTCATATCATTTTACAAGAAAGATGGTGCATAGAACTGAACCAAACAATAGGTTTTTCTATATTGTTTTCTTTCTCTTTTGAATGATGACTGAAGAAAAACAGGTTGATTGTGTGAAAGTGAGAGATCGATAAAATGGATGACTGGCAATAGTTGACATCAAAATCCACAACAGACTTAAAATTCCAGTGAAATATGAGCATTCCGTTACCTGATTCCGTTAAACACCCTGATCTCAATTCTTACACAGTGTTGTCTGGAAGTCGAGTTTAAAGGATAAAAAAAAACAGGATTTTTTTTAAAAGAATGTAATGAAATTTAAATACATTAGTGTAGAGCATAACGTCTAGGGTTTATGAACCAGTAGTGTATGTTCATTTGCAAAAGTGTCCAATAAAATGTTTTTTAAACCTTTATTTTTTTTTTTAGCTCCCAGGCTAGTTATCCAGTCAGTAGATTAAGATAAAATAGGCAACAAAGGAAGACAATGGTTTTCTTACAGACAAATTGAAATAAGCCATTTATTGATTGGATAATGCCTATTGTTTTTTCACATGGCCAAAAATAAATGTTACAGATTCAAAAAAGGGAGAGTTTTTGTTTTAAATCAAAACAATAGTTTTTGAGAATCTAGCAAAAAAAGAAAATCAAAAAAGACCTTGCCCTTTGCACTTTGAGTGTTGAAGAAATTCACAAGGTATTACATTCACATTACCTTATAATTTTATTTTAAAATAAATGTCAGTGTCTTTTTTGTACTTACTGACATGAGCTGCTTCTAAGTGTGAAAATGAACCTAGTCCAATAGCAATACATTTTGCAGAATTATCTGCTACCAGACAGTTGTTTTCTTAGAATTGTTGATCATATACATGAATAGAAGAATACTGTAGTTTCACATTATGGTGGCCAACAGTTTAGTATACACTGTACTCAAAAGAGAAGACATTTTTATCATATTATTGAATATATATATATATATATCACCCGTTTGGCCAAAATGAGTAGAGGTGATGATAATGAAGCTAGGTTATTTGGGAGTTGTCACTTCTCACTTCCATTTATCCTTTTTATTTGTTATATGTTCTTTATTCTGTTTATTTTCTTGGCTGTTTTTAATAAAATCTGAATCCACAATTCTGCTGTTATTCCAGGCATATCATCTCTTTAGCAACAAACATTTCGTAGCTTACTGAAGTCCCGATAACCTGAATACAGTGATGTTGATGGAAAGAAAAGCTGTATTTCACTTCCAGTGTTCAGCAGCCATTTAGGCTGGTGAAGCAGGTGCAGGGAGAGTCATCATAATAGCATTTGGCTGTTATTGCACAGAATCATAGCTAGCTTCAAAGACATTGTCTGAAGAACATTCATTAGTTTTGATTAATGCTTCTGATGGAATCTTAGGGATTATCTCAAATTGCCTGTATCATCCAGGTTCCCTTTCATATCTTGGGTTTGGTTTGGAAAAAAAAGGGCAGATTGTGTGAAATTTATTTTGGTATGTCTTAGAAGTATTATGACACAAACTGATAGAACTTTATGATAGAAGGCACAAATAAGAAATTTTGTCTTAGTAGAAAATATACCAACGATGATGCCAAGCGGAAATATAGGTGTGGTTGATTATGAATGGATATGGAATATAATTTCTAAAAAAATAATAATAATAATTTTAAAATATTTAGAGAACTTCAAGGAAAGATTCTACAGAACTTTTTCTGTTCAAGAAATTTGCAGTACATCACATTGAAAAATAATGAGAATTGTACATGCTACTGTTTTTGATTAAGTTCAGTATATTGTGCCCAGATCGAGCTTTGGATTTGATGTGTGCCTATTTTTTTTTAAATCTCCATAAATGAACCCCCATATGCGGAAATTTGAAAATAAAGAAACAGGATTTGAAACTGTTATTTTCCTGTTTTCTATCAAACTGGATTTATTTTGATAATTAATATCAAGTTTCATCATAACTTAGGCTATTTATTTTCCAAAGTCTGAGATCTTCTGCAGTTTTTTTTTTTTTTTTTCTTGATGACAGGTCCGTATTTTGACAGAATTCAGATACAACGAAAGTTTCTCCGTAGAGATTGGAGGGTTAACTCCCTACACTGACTACAACATCTCAGTGGCAGTGCAGCCATTTGGTGGGAAATACTGGAGTGATGTGATGGACACTACAGCACTTACAGCTGAGTCCAGTAAGTATATTGCATCTAGCACATCTTTATTCCAAATCTTTCCAAATCTTTCTAGCAAATTGTGAATTAATACTCAAAAACATATCTTATTTCCGTAGCTGTCTGAAGTTCAGTTAAGATGTTTGAACAGCAAATATATATATATCATTTAGATCATGTTCACTAGATGTAGGGATTCCTATCGTAAGACCAGGCCATTCTTTTCATCTGTTTTTCAAATTTATGATGTCTCGAAAGATTTTCTTTTGCTGTGCTACACCAGAAGTTCACTTATTTTAATGACTGATAGACACTACATGTACATCAGGCATATATTACTGGTGGTGATGAAGAGATTTTCTATGGAAATCTTGATTTGAATTCTACCAAAAGCTAATGGACTTGTTTGCTGACCAAGGATGCCCTTATTTTTATGTAACTTTTGAGTGTCATCAGTAGAGAGAATAATCGCTGTCTTGACTGTGCCATATTGCCTACTTGACTGAGGTTTTTCTATCTCTGTTGGTTCACACCTGTCCACTGTCATAGAAACCCCATCTGTTCACTGGTATCTCCCCTTTATTGCTTTCTGGTGACCATGCATTGTGTCATTTTCAAAGCTTAACATTTATATAGGATAAAATATTATTTGTTTATTTATTTTGAGAGAGATTCCTATGATTATATCATGATTGAGAATGTTGTGTATCACAATTAAATAATAAGTGTTGTTAAGAACTCATTTTTTTTTTTTTGTCTCTCAATTATGTGTTAGTGAAATGAAATATTTGAGAATAATTGACGTATTGAAATATACAGTGAAGTGAACAAGTGTTCATATTATTGTTTGTCTTAATACGGTTGCAATCTTTTTTCTTAGTTCCTGCTGCTCCTCCAGGGGTCACTAGCGGCTGCTTTCAACATGACATAAAAAAGCAAAACCTTTTTGTCTACTGGCAGGTAATTCTCTCTCTCTCTCTCCTCTCTCTCTCTCTCTCTCTCTCTCTCTCTCTCTCTCTCTCAGTGGTGCATTTATTTCATAGGTTTAAGCTCTTTTACAAGATAAATAATTTTTTACCTGTTGGATTAAAGCAATTAAAGAGAGGAGTATTACCTGTGTTGTCCTATCTGATATGCCCTAGTCTGTGGAAGATTGACCCCTCTTTAGCACTGAGGATTTTATTGGTTATTTGAGAGAAATGAATCTTTTGAGAGTGCAGGAAATGAGATTAGCATTTGAAACCTCTTCTTTTTAACAGCATCGCGCCATGTCCTTTCTAATGTAAATTTCTCTATGAATGCAGGAAATCCCTAGGCAGCAGCAGAATGGCATGATACTGAATTACAAGATCTCTTGGAATGAGACATCCGTGACTGCAGTCAGCAACAGTTACCTGGCCCAGTACCCATCCCGAGCTCGCTCCGTCCCAGAGGGGGATGTTGGCACCTGGACGCTGATTGATAATGCCAGTCCAAGGTCACTATGGATCATTAAGGTTAACGCAGAGACGCGCATTGGCAGAGCCACACGTGATGCAGTGCTCACTATAGCCCCACTGCAGACACGTAAGCAGTTTTATGTATTAATACTAATTATACTATGCTGAAATAGTATTGCTTCTCTTTGAAGAAATTAAGAGAAAAGTGTATTTATGAATTGACTTCAAATGAGAGGAGAGGTTAAAGACAACGAATTCATCTGCATTAAACATTAAAATGTTAAAATGCTGTGTATTATAGGTCCTGGACCTCCGAGAGACCTGTACATAGAAGTGTCTTCTGATAATGTGGCCTACTTGTACTGGAAACCCCCTGTAGAGAGAGAAGAATTGGTGGTAGGGTACACTATATACTGGTGCTTGGGAAAATATACAGAGTTTGGATGTCAGGTATGATTTAATTATTATTCTGGTGACCGTGTCTGAAATGTTGTAAATCTGGTCTTATTTCTTCCTGTCATTTTTCATAGCAACACTGAAGGTCCAATGGGTTTTGAGTTCCTTTTCTAGTCTAAGGTCTTATGAACGATTTAGCATTTCACAAAATTGAGCCTCTGGTTTGTGATGGTGAATGCCCAATATTAACAACTCAAACTACGATATTATGGCGTGAACATAAAAATTGTATGTTGCAAGCACCTTAGTACAAATCATGGACCGTGAATCCACTAACCTACCTGTTCAGTATCTTCCATATGTACCAGATATTGTCAAGAGTGCATTTCTCCCATATTGCAAATAGCTCTGGATAGAGAAAAAAACTGGAAAAGGATGCAATCTTTTAGTTCTTCAAAATCAAGTTACACTCAGATGTAGGAAACATATGGACTCTAGGTACCAAATGAACTTTTAAAATGCACTTGCAGTCACCTTGTATCTTATAAAGTACGTCTGGGAAAGCAGACTGCTAATAAGTGCTTGATTCAGTATTCAGTCTGAAAATACATGGAAATGCATAAAATAATCAATTACCTAGAAAAGTATATAATCCTTTGGTACCTACATAAAACACAGGTGCTTCTAAAGGGAATATGTTCTCTAAATATCTCAAAATTGCATTGTCCTTTTTGTGGTGCTTGGCCTGATATATTTTATAAAAGTACATAGTGAACCGATTGATATAATCTCATGGAAAAGCAATATACTGCATTTTGTTTTTTCTTGTAAAGCTGTGCATTGATTTGAATTAAAGTATATTGATCAAACTTGACTGGCAGATAGGACTCAATAAAACAGTCTTAGGCTTCGTTCACATGCAATGTCTATTTTCTAAATTCTATTTTCTATTCGCGCTATCTTATGATCACGGTCTGTGCCCTGAATATCCCGCCGCGTAATTACTGGCAGCGCTAGCCAGTTACTTATAGTAACTTATAGTAACTGGCTCGCGCTGCCAGTAATTACGCCGCGGGATATTCAGGGCACAGACCGTGATCATAAGACATACCGCGAATAGAAAATAGAATTTAGAAAATAGACATTGCATGTGAATGAAGCCTTATTCGATTAGATCATAAATTTGATATCTGTGACCAGGGCAATCTGTTGTGGCAGAAAGTACCTAGAAATGTGACTTCCTACGAGCTCCATGTGGCCGCCAGTGAGGATGTAAGGAGAAACTACAGGTTTGCAGTGTCTGCAGACAGTGACCTCTATAGCAGTGGAATGGTCTGGCCACACGTCAAGTGCAACTATCTCTATGATAAAGGTACAGCGGGATCCAATTATTTCAGTCATGTATACCATGAAATGTAAAATGTAACTAAAATTTTTGTGAAGGTACGAGAAAAATATATTCAGGCCTACCCAACTACCAGACTCGGCACCGAATGATCCAGAATTCACCGGTAGATCAGACCACACTACCCGTTTTCAAGGTATGTATCAGATCGCATTACACAGTTTCATACCCTGAACAAATTTTGAGTGGTGATGCAATGCTTTTCAACCCCGCTAAGAATCGTCACTATCACATCGCGTACTAGGCAAGAGCGGTGTCGCGTCTGATACTGTGTAATGCGATCTGATACACACCTTGAAAACGGGTAGTGTGGTCCGATTTACCGGTGAATTCTGGATCATTCGGTTCCGAGTCTGGTAGTTGGGTAGGCCTGATATTGTGCAGAGATAGATTTCTTTTAGATGAAGATGAACTGGAGAAGCTAACTTTACCACCAGTGTTAGACTAGAGATAATAGATACCTTGACTTTGCCCCTCAACTGTTATCATAATGTTACTGTTATGTTACAGTTACAGTACTCCTCATAAATGATAAAGACCTTTGTAAACAAACTATATACACTTTATATAGTCACACTTAAAGTGCGTTAATAAGGAAACTGTTGTACGTGCTCCTTAACTAGTATTCCCAGTGTTGAGTTTTATAGTCAGAAAAGCTGGTGATTATACGAGTAAATTGGAAACCAGAGGAGTGTTAATCTGATTGCATTCAATGAGAGTCCCTGTGGAGATAGTACACACTAGCTAGTACAATAGATCCATTGTGAACACACCATTTTTAACCCAGTTGTTGCATTTTTACAGGTTTTGTGTTTATCACAAACTTACATCTTTTGTTGTTGTATGTCTTAGCTAAAAATCATTTTCGCTCAGAGAGCCATAATAAGATTTAAGGATCTGAAGTGTTTTGCTAATGGTGTTTGGCATATATTTCAGTTCCTGATATACACCCAGTTGGATTCTCTCTAAAAGAGAATGCACTGCAGAAAGAGAGAAGTCTAGATGTAAAATGGTTAGCACTGGATTGCACCAGGGGGGCTTTTAGCAAAATCTTGAACTATACCATAAGGATTTGCGAATATCCTGAAGAATGTAAAACAGGTGAGGAGATAGTTGACTTGTATACCTAGCATGAAGATTATTCGTTCTGCCTTTTTCTTCATTGTTTATGTTGAAGAGAAATATACATGTAGCAAGAAAATTACTTTTCTTAAAAAAATTCAGTGAAACGTTGTAATAATATATACTTTTGCCATAAAAACAGGCAAGTATTCCACGGTATCAGTGCCACATCAAGACAAGGACTATGTCGACTATATCATAGAAGGGTTGAAGCCAGCCACCCGTTATGGTCTAGCTATTCAGGCTGTCACTACAGCAGGTGGAGGTCGTTTTACATCATTTAATGACACTTTGGCATGGACTCAGCAGTCAGGTATGTGCCATAATATTCTTTTAAATGTACCTAGGATGGAGAGGGTGGATAGCCGTCTAAAACACACTAGTAAGGATTCATAAGTCAGTCCTGTACCAAGCTGTGACCAATATGATAATTGTTAACCAGGCATAAGCTGCAGTGGAGGAGGAATAAGTGAATATAATTCCCTATATTATGCACTTGCAAAGAAAGAGAGATTATATAGCTATGCTGTGTTAGGTTTACTGCGCCTTATATATATCTGTACACTCTGACACTCTGATTTTGTTTCAGTTTGGATTTTTAGTTTGATATCAAGAGAGAAATTTATTGTAGTTAAGGGGTCTAGGATATTAAAAATACGTCTAAAACTCGATTTTTAGTTTTTTATACGTTAGAAATAATCAATTTTGTATCTAATACTCAATTAAGTTATATTTGTGAAACACGGACTAAAAATATACATTTGGACGAGTTTTTCTACCTGTCCTGACTGGTACGGGTGGCAGGCTTTAGGCTCCGCCTCCGTTGTCAAGCACCGTTACTATGGGGGCGGAGCAAGAATGGTTGTCTTACTTCTTAAGCTGTTACGCGTGCCCTGGCAGCTCATAAGTCTTACGTCAGCTAAGCAGACCACAGTTATATACACAGTCATGGGAAGAAAGAAAGTCGTGAGAAAACGGATGAGCGAGGAAAGCAAGAGAATTTTGAAAGAGAGTGCTTCTGGTGGATGGAGAAACCCCGCGGTAAAGACTCGAGATCACACTTGAACTGCTGAGTATTCGTACAA